CCACAATTACTCAATATGAATACTACTCCCCTCTTCCCCTGATGACGGTTTGAAAGTGTCCGACCCCCCCCCCCCGCGTATGGTTTTTTTTGCACACAGGTTTCCCCGGAGTTGGGTTTTCGCCTGCATTTTTTTCAAAATGCTGCTCTCGCTGAGGCGCCGGCCTCATTTTCGGGCCCCGCTCGTTCCGAATCGTGCTCCCGCTGCAGCGCTGGCCTCATTTCCGTGCTTCCGCTCGTTCCGAATCGTGCTCCCGCTGCAGCGCTGGCCTCATTTCCGCGCTTCCGCTCGTTTCGACTCGTGCTCCCGCTGCAGCGCTGGCGTCATTTCCCGTGCCATGCCACGGCATGCAATGCAATGCTAGGTTGATACTACGCTTTGCGGTGCTCTTCTACGCCATGCCATGCCGTGCTCTACAATGCATCGCGTACCCTTTCGGGATCATTGCCCTGCTCGACATCCGACTGTGCGAGTAGAGAGGGGATCTGCGCCATGGTAAGGGATGGGAGGGAGGGGTAGGATGTCAGATATGACGCGCGCGCACCTAGCTTGTCCTCCTCCCCCTCCCCCTCCTCCTCCTCCTCCTCCTCCTCCTCCCCCTCCTCCTCCTCCTCCTCCTCCTCCTCCTCCTCCTCCTCCTTCTCCTCCGGTCATGACCGCCGACAGCTCGAGCCATGGGCGAGCAAGCTCTTGAGCCAAGATGGTTTGAGCCAAGATGGTCACAGTCGGGCCCGATACTCTAGGTTTCCTAGATGGGGTCGGAGTAGATGGGGTCGAAGGATCGCGCCTCATCGCCGATGCATCGCCGATGCGGCTCGATGTGGAGTCTGGTGTGTTTCACGTCGACGTCGCCGATGCATCGCCGACGTCGACACTGCATCGCCGGTGCATCCCCGATGCATCGCCGATGCATCGATGATGCATCGGTTATGCGGAGCGATCCTCCGACTGCATCTACTCAGATCCCATCTAGGAGGCCTCTAGATAAGTAAGTGGACCCTGCCAAAGCACGGGTACCCTTGTGTCCTGAGTCTCGCGACCCATGCCTTCTGCATTCCTATGGCAGTGTGGCCCTCAGAAAGGATCTTGTGCCCTGTCGCGTGTCCTGTCCAATCAAGTCCAAATGTACGGAGGGAAGGAGTGATGGAGGGGAAGGATGAGGGAGGAGGAGGAGGAGGCGGAGGAGGAGGAGGAGGAGGAGGAGGAGGCGGGGGAGGAGGAGCAGGCACAGGACGATGAGGAGGAGGGGGGTTGAGAGTTTCCAGGATGTCCAGGAGGGGAGGAGGAGCAGGAGGAGGAGGGGAGGAGAAGAGGAGGAGGGAGGAGGGAGGGAGGAGGAGGAGGGAGAGGAGGAGGACAGGAGGAGGAGCACGGAGAGGACAGGAGGAGGAGGAGGAGGAGGAGGAGGAGGAGGAGGAAGAGAAGGCGAACAACAACATGAAGGTGTGAGGAGTCGCAGGAGCCGCAGGATGAGGATTGATGAATCTACGATGTAATAAGGAGGGAGGGGAAGGAGGAGGGGGCAGACGGAGTGCAGGATGTATGGTGGAGCAGCGAAGGGGGCAGTGAGGGAGGAGTGCAGAGGGGGGGAGAGAAGTGTGGGGGGGGCGCGAGCGAGAGGTAGGGAGTCACGGAGAGTCAGGGAGGCGAGCGGCCATCGGCGTCCAGAGACGGCGAGTCGGCGCAGGCATCCCCGTCCCTCGGGCCCAGTGGGGCCCGTGGACGCGCGCGGGGGCCGCGGTCCCTGGCCCACAGAGCCTGGTGTCCGGGCCCCCGAGGGGATGCCGGGCTCGGGCCGCCGATGCCAGCGCTCGCGGGCAGCGTGCCCTCCAGAGGGCGGGGCAGATGGCGAGCGCGCGGCGGGCGTGAGGGGGCGACTGCTGACACTCATCCACCCTCTTCTCCTCCTCCCTCCTCCCTCCTCCTCCTCCCTCCTCCCTCCTCCCTCCTCCTCCTCCTCCTCCTCCTCCTCCTCCTCCTCCTCCTCCTCCTCCTCCTCGTACTCCCCCTCGTCCTCGTCCCCGTCCTCGGCTCGGTTTTCCCCCTCTCCTGCTCCCGTGGATGAGGGGGCCTGCCGAGTCCACCCCTAGGGGAACAACAAATGGCATACACATAAAAACTCGGAGGTCCGCGCGGATTTCTCGGGTCGGCGCTGGGGCCCCCAAGCGGCGCCTCCGGCGCCGCCCCTGGCGCGCTCCGCGCGCCAGGGAGGGGGGTCAGCGCCGATCCGAGAAATCCGCGCGGACCTGCAAGTTTTTATGTTTATGTCACTTGTTGTTCCCCTAACCCCAGAGGCCCTGCTGGGCACAGGCATTCCAGCTTGCGTGCACATGTTCCTGGGGGCCAGGCCTTCCTGGGAGCTTCTCGGGGGCTCTCTCTGGCGTAGGGCTGCCGCCGGACCCAACATCGATAGCCGATGGGCCAGCACGCCCGCGCAATGAACATGCCACAAGATTCGGCTTCCAAACTCCCGTTCAGCATGTATTGTTTGCCGATGTTGAGGAGAACACCGCTCTCGCTGTGCTTGGTCTCTGAGGGCAGGATTTGTCCACCCACGCGGTCGCAGTGTAGAATGCGGAGGTGGTAGCAACGCCGCCTCCGCCAACGGACAGAAGCTGTCCGTAAACGTTGGCTCAAGTTCTGGCGCGCTGCGGGAAGAATGGTGCACACGCGTACCGACGAGCGCGATCTAGATTCAGCGAGCGAAGAACGGTATGAAATCCGCTGGCCCCCTTGTGGGGCCACCAGGCTGTAGGCGCGGGTTCGCAGTTTCCTGTACCAGTTGTAGCTTGTAGTTTCCAGTGTTACAGTTCTGCTTCTTGCTGGTTACTGTAACTAGTTGATTGACCGCGCGAGGGGGGGGAGGCCCAAACCAGATATTTAGCACCTCCTGGGCGCGTTGTCTGAATTGCTGGGGGGGCTCGAAATCGACACCCCTCACACAGATCGGCGGGGTCAGGGTCCAAAAACACAAGGGATTTGCCACATTTCTGAAATTCGGTGCCACCCCTCACGCAGATCCGCGGGGTCAGGGTCCAAAAACACATGGGATTTGCCACATTTCTGAAATTCGGTGCCACCCCTCACGCAGATCCGCGGGGTCAGGGTCCAAAAACACAGGGGATTTGCCACATTTCTGAAATTCGGTGCCACCCCTCACGCAGATCCGCGGGGTCAGGGTCCAAAAACACAAGGGATTTGCCACATTTCTGAAATTCGGTGCCACCCCTCACGCAGATCCGCGGGGTCAGGGTCCAAAAACACAGGGGATTTGCCACATTTCTGAAATTCGGTGCCACCCCTCACGCAGATCCGCGGGGTCAGGGTCCAAAAACACAGGGATTTGCCACATTTCTGAAATTCGGTGCCACCCCTCACGCAGATCCGCGGGGTCAGGGTCCAAAAACACAGGGGATTTGCCACATTTCTGAAATTCGGTGCCACCCCTCACGCAGATCCGCGGGGTCAGGGTCCAAAAACACAGGGATTTGCCACATTGGCATTTGCCAAATTTGCCACCCGGTGCCACCCCTCACGCAGATCCGCGGGGTCAGGGTCCAAAAACACAGGGGATTTGCCACATTTCTGAAATTCGGTGCCACCCCTCACGCAGATCCGCGGGGTCAGGGTCCAAAAACACAGGGGATTTGCCACATTTCTGAAATTCGGTGCCGGTGCCACCCCTCACGCAGATCCGCGGGGTCAGGGTCCAAAAACACAGGGGATTTGCCACATTTCTGAAATTCGGTGCCACCCCTCACGCAGATCCGCGGGGTCAGGGTCCAAAAACACATGGGATTTGCCACATTTCTGAAATTCGGTGCCACCCCTCACGCAGATCCGCGGGGTCAGGGTCCAAAAACACATGGGATTTGCCACATTTCTGAAATTCGGCGCCACCCCTGACGCAGATCCGCGGGGTCAGGGTCCAAAAACACAGGGGATTTGGCACATTTCTGAAATTCGGTGCCACCCTTCACGCACATCCATCGCAAGGCGTGGTAACCCAAACTGCGAGAACTCCCCTCGGCCCTTTAATCGCAAGGTGTGGTAACCAAGCCCGTAAACCATACACGTCTTACCAATCGCCAGGTGTGGTAACCCCTCTTGTGATCAGTTGGTTTTGCTGATTGCGAATCGGCCTTCGCATGAAGTTTCGATACTGCTTCACGACAGCGCCAAGGCCTCATGACTTAGCTCTTCCATGGCCCATTCTCCGAGAGAGGGGGCCGGCGGCAGGGGCGAAGCCCTTACGGATAAACTTTTTCGCTCTGGGGCGCCTGCCCCATGGCGGCTGGAAAGTTTATACCCTTACGGTGGCACCGTAGGGGTATAAACTTTCCAGCCGCCCTGGGACAGGCGCCCCCGACAGCGACAAAGTTTATTTTATGCCGTTCTTGGCCCGTTAATTGATGTTCTTCTCGTTCACCTCGCCGTCTCAGTCAACACCCTACTCATATTGAAATTCCGTCTGCCGATACCCTGCTATTTGAAACATACACTGCCCATACGGCCCTCAGAGGCCCGCCAGCTGCTCAGGAGGCTGGCCAGAGGGCAGGACGTCTTGATCGGCACATGTTCCCTTTCCCAGTGGGAGAACCCAGCAGTGGAGGAACCGGAGGCGGAGACGTCGGAAGATGATATAGCTCCTCAGCGCCTCCTCTTTCTCCCCTCCCTCTCGCTCCTCCCCTTCCGCCTCGTCCTTGCTTGCCCTCCTCCTCTTCCTCCTCCTCCTCCTCCTCCTCCTCCTCCTCCTCCAGGGGAACGAAGAGGCGCCGCCAGGGGGGCCCAGCGCGGATCCGAGAAATCTGCGCGGACCTACGAGTTTTTATGTTGATGTCATTGTCCTCTCCCCTATCTTCCTCCTCCTCCTCCTCCTCCTCCTCCTCCTCGCCCCCCTGGCCCGGCCTCTGCACTTCTGCCCCTTGTGCCCCCCCCCCCCGCCCGCCCCCGCCCCTCTGGGCCGTCTTGCCTTTCTCGCCCGTGGGGTCGTCCTGCAG